ACTAAAGATTGCTAAGAAAATTGGTAATTCCCTGGTGGTCCAGTGGTTAAGACTCTGTGCTTTCACTGCTGAGGGCCTGGGTTCGATCTCTGGTCAGGGAAATAAGCTCCCACAAGCTGTGTGGCATGGCCAAAAAAAAAAGATTGCTAAGAAAATAATTCTCAGCTTGTAAAGTTGGAGATGATGGGAAAATGAAGAGTTCTTTAGATTTTCTTAAGCTGGTTATATAGTATAATGTTCTGGGATATTGGAAGGGCAGTAGAAAGAGTTCTTCCCCAGTGATTTCACATGTGAGGTGCCTTATTTTTTATTATAAGATGCCTACCTTATTCAGCAAGTTAGTAACACACACAAACGTGTTACATAGGAAGCCTGACATCTCAAGCTAATAGATAATTTTATAAGACTTTTTAAGTTTTTCCTCTTGGGCTTAACATATTTGATATATAAAAACTTTTTTTTTGAATTGTGAAGTCTTCTGGTTGAAATACGGATAGGCAAGTTTTTGTTCTTGTGACAGTCCTTTTCTTCCATCTTTTATGGCAGATACAGACATTATGGTTCTACATCTTTATAATTTAGTTATAATCTTGGGATAGGTCCCTTGAGAGATTTGATAAAGGGTTTAAGAATAATTTGATGTAGAACACTCCCTTACCTTACAATTTTTTTTTTTTAATTTGGCCATGCCGCATGGCATGCAGGATCTTAGTTCCCTGACCAGGGATCAAACCCGAGTCCCCCTGCAGTGGAAGCGCAGGGTCTTAAACCACTGGACTGCCAGGGAAGCCCTCTTACCATATAGTTTTTTTAATTTAGTATTTTACTTATAAGACAAATACAATATACATGTATTATTTACATCTTACTTTTAAAAATGTTTCAGTTTGATTCTTGCAACCAGTCTGAAAATTTTAGCTGTCTGTAGTTAGTCAGTCTTTCTCATAATACGAAGTCAGCATTGTTAGTCTTAGTGCTTGGGAATGCTCATACGTTAAAGAATAGGCGAACATATTCTTTATTACTTGTATCGTTTTCTTTTGGGGAATGGGCAGTTTCCAAGACTTATGAAACCCATTTGTTAAAGTATCAGCCACAAATACTAATGAGATAATACTGTTGTGTAAGTAGATAAATCACATTAGTGTTTTCTAGATGTTAAGCTTGCTTTCCTAATGTACATTTTCTGTTTCTTCATAGATTGTAATGAGATGAAATAGATATGAATAGTACTCAATAAATGTCTTTCATGTAGTTGTAAAACAGGTCATTATGATTAAGCATTCAGTTTCATGCTTAACATTATTTAGAATTAGGTAAAAACTGGTAGAAATTGTCTGCTGCTGGCGTTCACATTATTTCTATTTGGTTATAACTTTGAAAGGCATCGTTGAACATTATTAACTTGAATGAAAAGCTGGTAACATTAGGATCCAGACTGGAATTCCATTTAAGTCATAATTTGGTTGTGTGCTAGAATTTGGAGGCCCGTAAGGTTTGACTTGGATTAATTTGGTAGAAAGAATACTGAAATGGGCTTTTGGAATTTAATTCTTCCATGGAACTGTAGCCGCCTTCAATCTGGGTACTGTTGTGTTTTTAGGTCTCTCATGGGCACTCCTTAGTCTTTTTTTAAAGCTCTTTCTTGGATTTGAAGAAACTTAGAATGTTAGAGAAATGAGGGCCATTGCCTTAGAGTGTGAATTGCTTTCTTGGAATCGTTTGGGGATTTAAGTGAATTGAAATCTGAAGTAAGGGAATTTCTGTGAGGTGCTTTTACTCCAATGACGTAGTCATAAATAAATTCAGTAATCTGCATCTCGGACATAGTATGCTAGGGCGCGGTTTTAACACTTGGTTATTAAAACTTTTTATTGTGTTGAGTACACTGTTCATTTTGTAAAGGATGTTATTTGACCCACAACACAAAAGTGGAGGCAAATTCATAGCATTTTGATTTGAGCCAGGAACTTAGATTAATTTGGCTTTATGAGAGAGGCTTTGTCTTTCAGGGATCAGTTATTAATGAAGTTTACTGTGATGGATATAAGTATAAAATGGAATCCAGCATTTTAATGTTCAGTGAGAACTAAAGCTGCAAGACAGTCCACAATGTTTTATTCTTTTTTGTAGGTAAACTTACATAGAAAGCCAGATTCCTAGACGGTTTTTCTTTGGTGAAATAGAGCAGGTAGTTTTATTTTAAGACCCATTTTTCAGCATTCAAGCTTGAGGCACCCATCCACTGTAGATCAACAAGAGATATACCAGTCTGTTTAGCTGAACTGCCTTTCTAAGATAGTGCTTGGAAAGGGCACTTTCCCTCTTGTTCTCAGGGTTTTCTTTTTGTTTTTTTAATTCTCAGTATACTAGGGAAAATAGTCAGCACTTAACCATTTGAGTCTAATGGGCCATTTTTATTTTTTATATTTTTAAGTCATTTTACATATAAATTTACAGAAGAATAAAAGGATGGTGAAGATAAACATTATTAGATATTTTAATAAGCATTTAAACAAAGAAATACAAGTTTTTATTTCATGTTTTCCTGGTTTTTGACAATACATGTACCTAAAATGAGCAAAGTTTTCTGAATATTAACTTATTGCTCATCAGCTATCATGCATAAACCCAGAACATACCCATATCGTAAATGCTGATATCAGATTTAAAGTCCATCTCTGGTAATTTCTAGTTTATCATTTCTTCTGTTTCATCTTACACACTTGAATTATCAGAATGCAGTGGTTTAAGAATACAGTTGACTCTTGAACAACATGGGTTTGAACTGCATGGGTCCATGTATACTCGGATCCCCCCCAGTGTGGCTTGTGGAAGTCTTAGTTCCCTGACCAGAGATTGAACCTGGGCCCTCAGCAGTGAAAGTGTAGAGTCTTGACCACTGGACCACCAGGGAATTCCCACTCAGATATTTTCAATAGAAAATGCTACAGTACTGCATGATCAGTGGTTGGTTGAGTTTGCAGATGTGGAACTGCATATACAGAGGCCGTCTGTGTTACACTCAGCTTTCAACTGCATGGAGGGTTGATACCCCTAACCCCTTTGTTGTTCAAGGGTCGATTGTATTTTGGAACTTCTGATGGCTTCTAATTTTATCGAATAGAATATTAGCATCTTTGCCCTATAATTACACCACTCTCATATTTAACCAGTTGGATTGACCAATGTGCATTTCTTCGTCATCTGTTTCTTTCTAGTCAAAGAAGATGGCAGAGTATTTTAGGATGTAGGAAAAATAAGGTTCCTGGATTCTGTCTTAGATTTATGTAAGGGTTCATTGGATGCTTAATAACAATTGCAAGACAGAATGAGTTTTATTCTATTCTAAAAAAAGGTAAAAATTTCTTATTTTTTGGAAGATCTGAAGAAAGGATAGAGTCAAGAAATAGATTTACTCATAAGAAATGCAGAAGCTAAAATTGAGTTCACTGGAGCTTCATTGGTATATAGGCTTTTTTTTTCCCCTCAGCTTTTCTCTAATCATAGTATGCAGTAAAGTTGATCATGAAGTTTTAGCTTATTTATTTTTAGTTCCAGTATTCCACCACTTCGAAGATTACTCTCATTATCATCTTGATAGAAGCTTCAGGCTTTCCAAAACTGTTTGCCTATCAGTAGTTGTTTACATTATTTCACAAATGGCTGTTAACATGTATTGATTGGTAGATTTCTCTGTCCACCTGTGTAGGGGCAACCTTAGTTTAATCAAGATTTTTGTGAGTGTTTCTTAGTCATCTCTTCCCAGCCCCCCCCCCACTTTCTCATGTATTGAAAATATATCAAACAAACTGCTGTGTTGTAAGAAATAACTCTAATTCTCAATGGAAACTTTTCTAATGTATTATATTTCAAAATACTTGATAATTATAGAATACGTAAGATACAGGGTTTTTTTGGCATAGTAGGTTTTGTAAGGTATGTACTCTGCTAGATGGACTAAATGTGTGTATAATTTTTTTTGTTAGACTTGTAGTACATTTAAGTTTCTCAGCAAGGGATTTAAATGTCATACCTTGAAGGAATTTTAAAATAGGAAGAAATCTTAAAAACTTTCTAAAAACAGTTCTTAATTTCAACATTTTATAAATACTGATAACAGATTTAAAATACATCTTATTAAGGTTCTAGCTTATCCTTACTTCTGATACTTGAATCATCAGAATGCCATGCTCGAAGATGAACAGTGTTGACAGAAACTGAAAGACCTATGTTTTACACTATGTAAAACTGTCTTGTAAGAAGCATTTCTTTAAAATAATACTTATTGGGACTTCCCTGGTGGCACAGTGGTTAAGAATCCGCCTGCCAATGCAGGGGACACGGGTTCCATCCCTGGTCCAGGAATATCCCACATGCTACGGAACAACTAAGCCCGTGTGCCACAAATACTGAGCCTGCGCTCTAGAGCCCGTGAGCCACAGCTACCAAGCCTCCGCGTCTAGAGCCCATGCTCCGCAGCAAGAGAAGCCATTGCAATGAGAAGCCTGCGTACCGCAATGAAGAGTAGCTCCTGCTCGCCACAACTACAGAAAGCCTGTGCAGCAACGAAGACCCAATGCAGCCAAAAAAATAAAAAATAAAAAATCTCTTTAAAAAAAAATAATAATATTTATGTTTAGTAAACCCTCTTGAATTTGAAATTCAATTTCCAAGGAGCCAAATTGCCCGATGAGGGTTCAGTTTTATTTTTCAGTAGTAAATTTAAGCGTATATAACTTTTATTAAATCATGTTTAGTACACCAGTTTCATTTTGTTCACAATATTTTTTTAAAATTATTTTTGGCTGTGTTGGGTCTTTGTTGCTGTGTGTGGGCTTTCTCTGGTTGCGGTGAGCAGGGGCTATTCTTTGTATTATTCTTCACAATAAAATTTTTGATTCTTGATTTTAATGGAAGTTTGCGCTTGTATTAAGTCATTGTATATAGTGTTGAAATCTTTTTGGATGAAGGAATAAGGGCATTTTTTTTCTTGCCAGGTGTATTCAAGAGCAAATGATCAAGAACCATGTGGATGGTGGTTGGCTAAAGTTCGAATGATGAAAGGAGAAGTAAGTGATGTTGAAACTTGCTTTGTGACTGATTTTCAAGGAAGTACCTCCACTCTTCGTTCTGTAAATGTTACTCTAACTCTTAGTTGTTAAAAGCCTACTTCAGAAATAGTTAATCATGCCTTTCAAAAAGTCATGAGACCAGTAATTTATATTTGTGTTCTGGATTTGCAAACACCAAAGCTGCTCTCCAGAGGTATATAACGCAGGCATGTGAGGACCACCATAGTTCATGCTTGTAAGAATGTATAATCTAGTTTAGGCAAATCAGATGGATATAACTAAGCTGTGCTTAGTATTTGTGCCACAAGGGGGGAGGGTCTACTTGTTAAGCTGAGCAAGGTAATTAGAACTTCATTTAAAGCTCATTATTTTTGTTCAGATGGGATTTTTAAAATATTTTGATGTCTTTTAGTTTTATGTCATTGAATATGCTGCTTGTGATGCCACTTACAATGAAATAGTCACATTTGAACGACTTCGGCCTGTCAATCAAAACAAAACTGTCAAAAAAAATACCTTCTTTAAATGCACAGTGGATGTTCCTGAGGATTTGAGAGAGGCGTGAGTAATTTTGTTTACTGTTGAATTGATTTGTGAATCAAGAGGATTTTTCAGTGCTACAAAAAACTTTTTTCCCCAGATGCCCAGTCAAAAACTTTGATAGAAAATCTTTTTAACAAACAAAAGTTTTAATGGGTGGTGTCAAAATGAAATACTGAGTTTTCATTAAAATTGCCTTCTAAATTTAACCTATTATTTAGGTCTTACCCATGAATTACTTTCTCCCTAGGTGTGCTAATGAAAATGCACATAAAGATTTTAAGAAAGCAGTAGGAGCATGCAGAATTTTTTACCATCCAGAAACCACACAGCTAATGATACTGGTAAGGTAACTCCATATTTTAAGGTAGATAATGAATATTGTACAGATTTTATAATTAAATATTTCAGAAGATAAAAGCTAACTTGTTTTATAGTGACTTTATTAAAATACAGTGTGGGAGAAATTCTTTGCAGTTATAAAATTAATTTGTAAATTTCTCCTGGAGTAAGGAGGAAAAATCAATATAATATTCTTTACATCATAAAATCCTTAATATATGGGATCCTGGATTCTATCTGCGCCCCCCAATCATAATTTGAAGAGCAGATCTAAGTAATAATGGAAATTAAGAAAGCAAAGTAAGATTAACTTGTGGCGAGGAGCGGTGCATGTTAGGTGAGGAGAGAAGTGTAGTAGACGAAAATCAAGGAAGGCCTTATGTGGAAGGTTGTGTTTGTATTACCTTGAAAAAGGATTTAAGTTTTTGAGTGATTAACTTGTGTGTTTATAGTCTGCCAGTGAAGCAACTGTTAAGAGAGTAAATATTTTGAGTGACATGCATTTGCGAAGTATTCGTACGAAGTTGATGCTTATGTCCAGAAATGAAGAGGCCACTAAGCATTTAGAAGTAAGTGGGTTTACTTGTTAAAAGGTTTTTTGCTTGTCCCATTTAGTTTCATGAGTATATTATTCAAGTTCCATGGCTGAAACTACTTGACTGTTAGGTAGGGCAACTTGGGACCTGTTTTATGGCTAATAACTGGAGTCATTGTGTCCTTAGAAGAATTACTTTTTTCTATTACTTTTATCAAACATAGCCTTTTGTCTGCTAAATGCCTGTTGAGTTATTTGTTAGGACTTGGATGACAGGTGCCAAAGAGCTTAAAAACTCACTAGGGATTTCCAGTAGAACTTTATTGCTGGTTTTTACTGTCCTGTATCAGTCACAATGCATTTCCTTACTAACTGGTTCACTATAACAACTCCTGGGTAAGAAGAGAGGAGGATACATGGCTTATAGTTTTAAAAAAGAGCCTGTCATTGCTTCTCTCCATCCTAAGGTATTCCTGTTTTCTCCTCTTCTTCGCTGCCACACTATTAGGAGATGTGTTCCCCCCACCTGCTCCCACACGCACTTGTGCACACACACGCTGTCTTAGAGAAATTGGGGTACGTGTATCTTTAGGATAAGTACACGAATGCCCTTATTAATTTAAAAGTTCCAAACAAGGGATATGTGAATGAGCTTTGAAACATAAATCATCTGAATTGGAGAGCTTCCTGTATCAGTAATTCTGGAAAATTGTTTTAGAATTACTGTTTTCTGTGACCATGATTAAATAGATGGGTTGACCTTTTTTCCCCTTCCATTATATGACCCCAAATGAATTTCCTTTATTCCTTTTTTCTTAGTTCTTTTTCTTTTTTAAAAAAATTATAGTGAGATAAACATAAGATTTACCATCCTAACCATTTTTAAGTGTGCAGTTGATAGTGTTGAGAAGTGTATTCACATTGTTGATCAACCAATCTTCAGAACCTTTTCATCTTGGAAAAGTGAAACTGTGTCCGTTAAACAACCTCCCATTTCCCCTTCCTCCCAGCCCCAGCTCACCACCATTCTACTTTGTTTCTATAAATTTGAGTACTCTAAATACCTTTCCTAAGTGGAATCATGTAGTATTTGTCTTTTTGTGACTGGCTTATTTCACTAAGCATAATGTCCTCAATGTTTGTCCATGTCATAGCATGTATCAGAATTTCCTTTTTAAGGCTGAATAATTCTGGTTTTACTCACATATCACATTTTGTTTATCCATTCATCATTCAGTGGACATGTGGGTTGCTTTCTCCTCTTGACTGTTGTGAATAATACTATGAACATGGGTGTGCAAAAATTTTTTTTGATCTTTTATAATAAATTATAATTTGCCTCTTTTACTAGTGCACAAAACAACTTGCAGCAGCTTTTCATGAGGAATTTGTTGTGAGAGAAGATTTGATGGGCCTGGCAATAGGAACACATGGTAGTAACATACAACAAGCTAGAAAGGTTCCTGGAGTTACAGCTATTGAGCTAGATGAAGATACTGGAACATTTAGAATCTATGGCGAGGTAAGCTGTTTGCCCCCCACTTTGGGTAACTTTCCTATAATATATTAACTATTGTCTGGAATTTCAGTTTCTGAAGGGTGAAACGCTTTAAATTAATCAGCCTGGCAATCGTTGCATGTATGTAGGTGGATTAAAGGTTGTGTTTAATGTGTACTCTTCTCAAAAGTTCCTTAATAAACTGCTTCTGAATTTTACTCTGTTTTATGTGAATTAATTCAAATGTTTTTTGAGTGCTTACTGTCGGGCACTGGCAGTTATAAATAGCATATAATAGAATAGCTTTTGTAGAACTTGAATTTGAATAATATTTTGTCACTGGTTAATTGTGACATCTGTGTGGACAGGAAAATAATTGGAAAAATAAATCAGACTTTTCTTCATTGAGACCATCCTTCACATTAGAGTAAATGAGTTTTTTGGGGGTGATAATTTCAAGTCTTGACTTTTCATTTGAGTCATATAGTAAATCTTACTAGAGGCCTGATTTTTACTTCCGAAACCGTTAGAAGTGGGCAGTATAACAAAGTAATTGAGATGAAAGGCTTTGGAGCCATACTGCCTGAATTGGAATTTTGTCTCTACCACTTTGAGAGGGCTTGGAGAAAGTTACTCAGCTTCCCTGCGTAATTTTCCAAATTGTAAAATGAGAATAATGATAGTGCTTACCTTACAGTTTATGAGAATTAAATACAGTTTAAAAATTTTTGCTGTGTATAATACAGGGAGCACACAATATACTTGACCTATGGTTATTAAAGGACAGACATTAGAAGTGGAAGTTAACTGTTACTAGACTATAAATTCCTTTTGGAGAAGACACCCCCGCCCCCATCTTCTGGTCTTTTAAAATCATAACCATTAGCGATTAGGAATTTTAATGATGTTATCAGTAGGTAATTTTTTTTTAAATGCATCTGCAGAAACAACCTTTTAAATCATTTCTTATGTTGAGAATGAAAAAACAATGCAGATAGTACAGACAACAGGAACATTTTTTTTTTTTAACATTCACCTGGAGAATTCAGCATAGGAGTGTGGGCCAGATGTATTTAGGATTGGGTTAAAATTTGGCTAATGTAAGTAAGTTAAACTCTCTTGTTAATTTTCTCAGGAGCTTAAAAGGGACCTTAGAGATGTGTAACATATTTTGGTTGTAAAAGACTCTTTCCTAGCTGTTTAATGATTACTGTGACTTTTTTTTGGAAAAGTACTTCATGAATTATTTGACTTGAAATGTCACTCTGGTGGTCTGAGCAGAATCTTGTACTAGAGTGTAATAATTCAGTTTATCCTATTTTATTTTTGTTGTGGATTGTGGGTTTCTTCAAGGTTGAATTTCATGTTTGTTTCCCCTCTCTCCCCACCAGAGTGCTGATGCTGTAAAAAAGGCTAGAGGTTTTTTGGAATTTGTGGAGGATTTTATTCAGGTTCCTAGGAATCTTGTTGGTAAGTACTTTTACTAAATGTTAAATGAGTTAAATGTTACTTAATTACATACAGTGACTTAATTGAAAATTAGAGTTTTCTGATATCTTAAAGTTATGTAGAGTATTTTTTTTATAACAGTTTGTCATTATAGTTTTTCTTAAGCCTTTTCATCCTTTGGCCTCTTTCTTAATATTTTCATTTGCTTGATGTCTTTATCATTCATATATCCATCAAAATTGTTGTAGTACTTTTTGAGAAGGTTATTTGTGGTAATTTTTTTCTTTTGTTTAATGTAGAAGAAAAAGTAAGAATGGACTAACAATAAGGTAATAAACTTCTACACAGTAGGCCTCGAGTAAGTAATAGTTGTTGCAAAGGCATAGAATAAAGTTTATGAAGTCATAGGCAGGAGAGAAGGATGGTGATGATGATATGAGGGGAGGTTTCACTATTAATTTTTTCACTTAGTGAAAACTGCTGCGCCCATGGGTTATTAAGTTAAGTGACAATTTTTGAATTTGAAGGTGCAGTTAAATGAGCATTATAGCTTGGGATTAGTTGTTTAACAGCTTTGTTATTATCCTCTACATCTGTGCTGTCTGTCCTTTAAAATGCTGTTTGAGACATATGGGAGAGCTTTGGTCACATGTTAAATACTTAGTGATTATCCTAAAAGTTTGACATAAATAAAGCATCAACATGATGTAGCAAAATTTACTAGGGGAATGGTTTTTTATGATTTTTTTTGTCATCTATTGAATCTCATTAGTTTTTTGACCTTAAATAGTTAGAGTCCCTTGGGCTCCACTTATATATAGTTACGCCTGTAGGAAGATTCTATACATGTTTTACTTGTCAAATTCTGTAAAACATTAGTAGGTGAAAATGAAAAAAAAAAAAACACTTCCACTATTAAAAAAGATGTTTGTTTTGGCCAGTAACAAGTAGTCCGCTTGGGATAATAGTGTACAACACAAGAATTTGGACAGTTTCATGGTGTTCAACTATATAAAAATCTTTTCACTTCTGCCCAAATGTTTGGATGGGTATGATATACTACCAGTTAAGAAAGCTCCACTTAATCTGTTCTTAGAAACCACTGTTCACTGTACACTGAATTGCTGGAGATTATGAGTTGAGAGGTTAAAATTAAATGTAAGTCTCAGGAATTGTACATAATTTTAATAAATGTTAAGATACAAAAAGTTACCAAATGTTTATTGTTGCCTAATGAAATTGCCTTTGACAAGAAAGCTGCTTTTGAAAATGATCCCTTTTGTTGTTTATATAATACTCTATTATTGACAGCTATCAGTACTAACATTTTGGTTGCTGCTTTTACAGAACATAATTTAACTTATGATTTCTTCACTTGTAAAAATGATTTGGAGGTGAGTGTGTCCAAGAGAGTCAGGGTTCTTTCCAGCCCAACAATTCTATAGAAGATAGCCTTGGTCTTGTAGAATTTGTGGTAGTGTTAATTTTAAGTAAAAATTCCTGATATTTCAGAAATACGGAAATTGGATGTATTTGTAGCTCTCAGATTTTTCTCTTTATTCGTTTATCTGTGCAGTGATGTGAGTACCTGTCATGTCTCTTTTTTTCCTCCACCCTGGCTTGGTTGACTTTGGTGATTTGGGTTATTTGTTTACTGTTTAGAAAATAAATATTAGCAACTATTATGCGTTGGTGAAATACTCAGAAGGAAGGACTTCAGTTAGTTGGTGTGTATAATAGTAGTACTACATCTTCCTCCAAAATGTTTTCTGGTTGAAGCAGTGTTTTGCAAAATAGTACCTTCTTAGTCCAAGTGAAAGAGAAAAAAAAGAGGACTGAGACATAAATGGGAATGAGGACTACTTGGTAGGTATGTTTCAGAGAGGATTTCTGCACATATTCAGGTTCCAAGGGTTCTAGACTTGACCATTCCCACCCTTCCCAAATCAAAAGTATTACATGAACATTGATTTGAAAATTAATTGAAACTTTTCACCTCCTGGAAGACTTCCTTAATCGCTTCTCTACTCTGTCCCTTCAGCATTTATGCTCAGTGCTCAAATTATACTACAGGTCTGCTTCAGGTTGTCAATATGCTTTGGAATTTAAACTGTGGAAATGATCAGTTAAAATACTGAAGGTCTCTGGTGGGACTAAATAAAACTTGCAGGTAGGTCCTTGCCACAGACCCCAGAAGGGTGATGGATATTCACTCACCACTGGTATAGTTCACAAGAAGGAAGGGGTAAAGATTTGGGGGAGGGGGTATGATAATATCAATCTGAGTTTTGTTTTTTCGAAAAGATATTTGCTTATTTTTAGCAGGGTCAAGGATGGAGTTGCTGCTTGAGCTTCACTGTGTTAACATGAAGGTTGCTTTTATATGCTGCTGCTAGGGCTGCTCAGAGAAGACATACATCATGTGACTTCCCTGTCCTACTCCTTTGTTTTTTCTTTTTACCTGTTCAGTTGCTGGTGCTTTTAAATTTAGGGTTATTGGGCAAGGAGGTTTGAAAATCCTATAATAGTGTCTGCTGTATTGACCAGCTTATTGTTGCCATTGTTTCCTTATTTATCTCCTTCCCCCCTTATTTATTCTTTATTGGGAACTGTTCTCTCAAGCATGCAATAGGAGAAACTTACATTTTAACCTCTTTCAACCAAAATTAATTTATTGTGGAAATAGATTGCTGATATAGTATAAAATTTTAATTAATTGAGGATTTGGACGTAACAAGATGTTGCTGTTAACTTAGGATACATATATTCCATATACTGATAGTTACTTGAACATTTACTTCTGTTACCAGGTAACACTACCCAGTATTGCTTTGTTACTTTATGGGTGTATGTTAGCTTTATAACAAGTGAGTTCCTAAGGGGAAGAGCATCTTCGTGTCCTCCTTTTAGTTTCTCCTCTAATTAAAGGATACTCAATAACTGCTATATGACAGACTCACAAGTTAAGTGTGGAGAAGGTAAATAATTTGAATTTATGTCATTTTACAGTATTTCATATCTAGGAAGACAGCAAACCATATACATGTTGTATGTAGTTGTACAATTCTGCAGTACTTTAAAAACTTACAGGTGTAAAATGTAATACTTGTTAAATGTCAACATTTTATTTTGGTGAAGAGAATATTCATTTTAAAAGAATCTTGAAGTCACAGGTGTCTTCTGAACAAATAGGGACTTAGAAGCCAGATTTATGACTTTGTTAGTTGTTTGAATAATAATATATGTAATATGTCATAAATGTAAACAAATTGATGTGATTAATGCCAAAATAAAAGTTTTCTTTTTGCCTTCATTTATATATCCAAGTTTTTGAAATAAATGGATTGGACTTGATATTTTAAAAATAGAAAAATGATACAGAACATATTAAAAAATATTTAGACATTGAAAATGGCTTACATTGTGAGTGGCACTGTCAATCTCAGTTAATAGTAGTTGCCTTAGGCGTACCAAAGTGAAGGTTTCATACCAAGGGTAAAGTTCCTCAGTGGTCTTTAGGGTGAGTTAATTGAGAGTAAGAAGATGAAGTTTTGCTTGGTTTTTATAATTTGATAGTAAGTCAAATTATTTGGGCTGGTGTTGAAATGATAAGCAGTGTTGGTTTTTAACTTACCATTATATATGTTTTCTCTTATTAAAGGAAAAGTAATTGGGAAGAATGGCAAAGTTATTCAAGAGATAGTAGACAAATCTGGTGTGGTTCGGGTGAGAATTGAAGGAGACAATGAAAATAAACTACCTAGAGAAGATGTAAGTATTTAAAACATAATTGGCCTGTGTCGTGTGTCTCCCTCCCCCCCCATTCTTTTTCTGGTTGACTTACAGTACTATTTTTTATATCTTGAAAATTGTTTTAGGAAAGTTATATCCGGTGAACTGCTTATGCTCTGCAGCAGATTTTTCTTTTTTAAAAAGTTCTGTCCTTACAGTGTTGCTTAACACACTTAGAAAACAAGTCATCTTTTAGTTGTTGGCCTTGGGCTCTTGGTTGGTTTCTCAGTATGTCAGTAAAACAGCCAGTTTTCGGCGGGGTGGGGGCGGGAAGACTGATAATCCTAACAGTTCTTTTTTTTTGTACTTGGAGTGTAAAGAATTTGATATTCTAAACAAAACAGTCGGCTGTGAAGGAATTCTTGATATGTAACACTTCCTTGACCTTTTTTTTTTTTAGAATTTGTAAGCCCTAACCATTTCTTAATTGAAATCTTTAAGCTTTATGTTGCTAGTAATTCTGATGCCAACTTTCTGAAATTTCTTTTTCAGTCTTTTTCTTACATGTTGATGTCTTGTCCACACTGCTGTATTTTTCCTTCTCATCCACCACTGTAAGCATCTCTCACCTTTGTGGCTCCAGTGGTCAACTTTGTATAAGTTGTATGTCTGAACATAAGGCAAGGATTTTCCCCCAAATTACCTCCCAGAAAGCAGTACATTCACACCCAGTTTTGCATGATAACTAGAGAGTTTGTTTGCCTATCGGGCAGAGTAAGTTTAAAAAAAAAAAAAAAAGACACACAGAGAAAATTGTAGATTTTGGCTCAGATAAATAGCCTCACAGCTGGTATTTGATGTTGTAAAGATGCCTATGAAAGATACCATTTCCTTTATTCCTTTTAATTAGTTAGAATGTGGAGGTAAAATACACACTTAAAAACAAATGAGAGAAAAGAAATGTCTTAACTGTTACACAAATGAGTACTTGTGGATTGATTTCATCCTACACTGCTTCAAAAACTGCTGTGAACCTCAAGTAATTTTAACTTATTCTTAAGCAAACACCATGCCCCAAATGGGGGGGAAACCCCATTTTTTATTGAATTTAAGATGAGGATTAAAATCGAGGGTGTCATAGTGTTATAATTGGCACTGTCCCCATTTATACTTACTATATAAAAGAATGGTGATCCATTTGGCATACAACCACTGCCTAAAATTGATCTGAAGATCAAGGTGTTTACTGGGCAGGTTCATTAATGACTCAATTATAAATTTCTTAGCTTGATACTAATATCTAGTCTTCCCTTAGCTTGACTTATTCCCAGTTGCTTTCCAGTATTTACGTTCTTGTTGCAAGCTAATTCTTCTAGGCCCTCCTTCATAAATTAAGAAGTTATTGTACTTTCCTTTGTAGTTTTGGTCATTGTTACCTCCATTTCTGTGCCAGAGTTAAGAAATTTAAATGCTAAAAGATACCAAGCACATTATGTAAATTATGAAGCAAGTTGGGATGTACAAGATAGGAAAGAGAGGGCACACTGTGCCTTTCTATAAAAGAAACATGCTGCTCACGTTTAATCTGGTTGCTGTGTAGGAATGCATGTATTATGTGTTGCTGTTTCTTCCAATATTTTAAAGAAAAGCTGGAAACCTAAACAATACACAAAATTTTTCAGTTTTCAAAACATTGCATGTGAAACAAATTTGAAGGTTGATATTGGCTTATTTGGGGCCACCATTTCACAATTTAAGCTGTCTAGGGGCAATCTCTGGTGGTCCAGTGTTTAGGACTCTCCACTTTCACTGCTGTGGGCCTGGGTTCGATCCCTCTTTGGGGAACTAAGATCTCGCAAGCTGTGTGTCGTGGCCAAAAAGAAAGAAAGAAAAAAAAAGCTGTCTAAATCTCCTGGAGACTCAGTTTATAACTTGTTTACTCTGAAGTCTTCGGTGACTCACCTTTAGCCCGATATGACCTTTGCACCTATATACCGTAGCTTTTATTGTCTGTATAATTGTGTATTTAATGATTTTCTTTAAGTCTTATGTTTTCTGGTTTATCTTATGTCTCCAAGGCAGGTTATGGAGCTCCCTGAAGTCAAGAAATCAAATCTGAATTCTCATATTCTCCTTTCTTCCCTAGCATAATGAACTGTATAGAGTAGGCACCTGGTAAATATTTAAAGTCAGTTAATTAAGGTTTTTTAAGATTAGATTTGAGTTTTTAATTGTAAAAGAAACACGGTTTATGTAAAGGTTAGAATAGCACAGAAATGTATGGTGTAAAAAATAAATTATATTTATGTCCTGTCCATGTCTTTCTCTTTCCATCATGTCTAATAGATTTTAGACTTGTCAGGTTGCCTTTTTGTGTCTTCTGCTCTTAAAAATAATGTTGCAGCAAAGATCCCTTGTGACTGAAGAGTAAATTCCTGGAAGTGCATTTGTTAGATCAAAGGCTGTATGGCATTTAAATTTTTAGATCTTGTTAGTTTTCCCACACATTCCTCCACCAGTATAGAAAATGTCGGTATTCCACATATTTGCCAATACTGAGTTTTATCACAGTTTAATTAGTGCCATTCCAGAATATGTACATATTATCTTTCCATTTGCTTGAAAGACATTTTCTATAAACAGATTGTCCTTTGCATATTTTTTGTCATTTTTTATTACTGAAGTGTGTAAGCTTTTGCATTTTGAGTAAGTTTGTCTTTTTATGTATGTGGCAAATACTTTTGCCTTCTGACTTCTGCAGTTTTGTGTCATGTTTGGCAGGTCATAGATTGTTCAAAAGTGCATTTCTAGTTTTTTCCCTCCAGTTTTTTTTTTTTTTTTTTGGTGTAATGTTATCAGGAGCAGGGTCAGCATTATTTTTTTCTGAGTGCTAGTTTGTCTCAGTGTCACCTGTTAACTATAAATAATCAGTTTAAAAAATACCTTTAAATCTAGAAATTTCACTGAAATAACTTAGATGAACTCATATTCAGTAATAATCATTTACTCTTCAGTTTTTTTTTTAATGGTTTATAATACCTATTAAAATAGTCTGTAAAATACGTGCAGTTAAGGATGCCTTTTTACTGCTCCTTTTCTTTGGAGGTAACTTGGTTACTATCTCCATTTGGGGGTCAAGGCATTCTATTTCTCTTAATCCTTGCAGATCAGCTGTTTGGAAAGACTTTACCGTTCTTATCTACTTCGTAAAATTCTGTTTATTTTTAATATTGACTTAAAATGACAATAATATTCTTATGAATTCCCCTAAATTTCCACATCTGGGATGGCATAATTCACATTCTACCTAATATTCCTGTGCTTTTAAAGTTCATATCACTAATGCTGTACAATGAGATGATTACAGGAAGGTTTATTATCTTTTCTGAGATTGTGATTACCTTTAGAACAGGGACTTTATTTATCCTATTCCTTAGCATAGATTCTGGCAGTTAACACGTGGATGTTGTTTGGAATTAAGTAACTGGATATGAAATTGGCTGGGAGCAAATTGTTTTCTCAGCTGTAGAATTGGGATATTTCTTAAAGTGAATTTTTAATGAACATTAAATAATGAATGTAAATAATATAGTCCCAGAAATACAGTATGTGATTAAAACTTTTTAGATCTCTTTTTTTCCCCTCCCCTGTCTTTTATTCACTTTATATCCTCTGTTTTCTGCATGTGAATTTTTTGAGGACACTGTCAAGACTTTCTCACTTCCTAATAAGCTTAAGTTAGAGTCCCTTGTTTCATGCCTTCCTAGTTGTAATTACTTCCTTATAGTCACTCGCTTTAAGCTCCATGATAGCTGTGCTCTGTACTGTAGCCTTAGCACCTGCCCTGGTCCATTTCTTCTTTTTGATCTCCCATACTAAAATTCAATTAAATTTTTTAAAAATTACTTTGGGGCTTCCCTGGTGGCGCAGTGGTTGGGAGTCCGCCTGCCAATGCAGGGGACACGGGTTTGCGCCCCGGTCCGGGAAGATCCCACACGCCGCGGAGCGCCTGGGCCCGTGAGCCATGGCCGCTGAGCCTGCGCGTCCGGAGCCTGTGCTCCGCAACGGGAGAGGCCACAACAGTGAGAGGCCCGCGTACCACACACACACACACACAAAAAAAATTTGAAAATAAGTCACATAGTAGTTTCTTATGTAGAATAAAAAGTTAAGCCACACTTAATTCCATATTTAGAATCCAAAGTTAAGCCAGTTTGTTTAGATAACTGTTAGGAACTATTCTGTAAAATCAAGAAAATGAGGAAAGACACTGTGATTGGGTGAGTTTACTTAGGATCTGTTCATTGCCCTTAGCCAGTAGGAAGCTGGAAGTTTACTTCTATAAAGGAAAAAAAAATTATCATCTTATTCTCCTCCTCACTTTTTTAAACCTTCCTCTTTTGAAATTCAGCTAAGTAAACCAGGTCTGGGTTAATCCTTTCATTTGTTTTAATAACTGGTGACTACTTGCCCATATCAGTAATTTCTTTACATTGTGTAAATATTTAGAGTCTGTAGATGATGCTTCTATTAATGATCATGAAGTACTCCTTCCATTACACACATGTTGAAAGTTTTGCTATCTGAGCACATAATATAGGGATAACCTGGCGAATGGGTTTTATTATGTTTTTAAGGAAAGCACTACTAAAGTGATATATCTAGTCTGAAAATTCATGCCAGTTTGATGGAAAATTTCTTTAAAAGTTGGTTTATATACTTAAAAGATTAGATTGAATTAGAAATTAGAAAACAAATATTAAATACTGAGGATGTTGTGTTTTCTTACAGGGGATGGTTCCATTTGTATTTGTTGGCACTAAAGAAAGCATTGGAAATGTGCAAGTTCTTTTAGAGTATCATATTGCTTATCTAAAGGTTTGTATAGTGTTCATATGTTGCTCCACGTGTTAAACTTTAATTTTATATTTGTAGTAAATTTTAAGTCTTTAAATATTTTTGTTAATTCAGCTTCATATTTGCCCTTTCTTTCTGCGTGAGAATATTGAAAGTCCTTTGCTGTAGTAAAATGATTGGCCTCATATACATTTTTTCTCTTTCTCTCTGTACTTTTACATTTCTTTCCATACTGTTTAAGACATGGTCACTCTTGTGTTCGATGCAGATAGGACACAGAACCAGGAATGAAGGTGGGCTTTCTTGGTAACTGATACTCTGAATCACATGTACTACTCCCATAGATATCAGTTGATAATTCTTAACCATTGTTTTTAGTATAGTCTGTCTGGGTTGATGAATAAAGAGAAAAGGTTTTAGAAAAGAAATTCCCTGTAAGTTGGAATTGTCATTTTCTACTCTTCTTATTCCTGC